AGGAATGCTGGAACAGGCCCTTGCGCGGAATTGCTGTAATTGAGGCTCATCAAGAAGAAAAACTTCGAACTCTGATAGCCTGGGTTCAAAAGGCCAGCAGACACATCGTAGCACAGAGGGGATCAACTAACGTTTCATGACAAACTTACAGCAAAGCCCATGCAAGGGAATGGGCAACAAAGAAATCACAATAACAGTAATATATATGTGACTTTTAGAAATCAATCAGGGGATTTCATTGGCTAGCAGTCCTCCTGTGAAACAGGGATCTCCGTGTTCTTAACGGATGTACGGATGTCAAGCAGACGTCAAAATGTCGTTCCTAATACTGCATTTTTCTAGATTGCTATGGAGAGAGACTGAAACATCACTCCTCCCATTCGTATCCCTCATGAGCTGAACACATGCTCCACCAGATGGTGACATGCACACAAAGGAAGGAAGAGGGATGCTGCAGCTGTGTGGTGACTGACCCCTGCTGGCCACAGAGGGTGTGCACACAGACATTGACACCTGTTGTGAGTTAATTCCTCCCAGGCGAGAGGTGACAGGTCCACGACAGAAACCTTCACCAGTGGCCTGGATCTTTCAGAATGATGCAAGGGGATTGACTATTCTTTTATAAATAATCCTTACACTTATGGTTCGCTTTTCTGGACACTCCACTCAAAGTGCTGTACAGGTAATGGGGTTCCCTTCCACCACCACCAGTGTGCAGCCCCACCTGGATGATGCTCCAGTACTCTCACCCCAGACCAGCTCTCAGTGGGGAGGAGAGCAGAGTGATGAAGCCAGTTCAGAGATGGGGGTTATTAGGAGGCCATGATTGGTAAAGACAAGGGGGACATTTTGCCTGGACATTGGGATTAAGTCCCCTACTCTTTTGAAGAAACACCCTGGGAAGGGTAATGACCACAGAGTGAGGACCTCGGTTTTACATATCATCTGCAGGACGGTGCCTTTTCTACAGTACGGTGTCCCCATCACTATACTGGGACATTAGGAACCACACAAACCACAGGGTGAGCGCCCCCTACTGGCCCTACTAACACCTCTTCCAGCAGCAATCTTAGTTTCCCCAGGAGTCTCCTATCCAGGTACTGACCTCACTCACACCTGCTGGGCTCCAGTGGGGCTGCCAGCTGTGAGCTCCAGGGGGTAGAGTTAAGTCCCTTAACAGGGTTCCAGTTTCAACATAATGTCAATCCACACCAGTGTGCCGCCAGAGCTGTGGTGGGGACAGTGCCTCACCTTTGGCCACCCAGGCCCGGAAGGGGCTGGCGTCATCGATGACATGGTAGAAGGTGAGGGGCAGGATGAGGAAGGGGCTGTCGGTGGAGGTGTCCACGTGGAACGGGACGTTCCTCTGGTCCAGGCGCACCGTCTCGCCTTCCTTGGTCAGGGAGGTCTGCAGCAGCTTCCCCGTCACCTGGCAGCCGATCAGGAGGCTCTTCCTCATGTTGGCCACCCGGATCATGAGGCAGGGCCGCCCGTCGTGGTTGGAGATGACGGCGTGCTGGCTGAACTTCACCGTCTCGCCCCGCTTCTTGGGCCGGGCCACCTTGGCCAGGAAGGTGCCCGTGATGAAGATCTCCATCACCATGGTGAGGACCAGCTGGAAGATGAGGAGGATGATGGCCATGGGGCACTCCTCCGTGATGCAGCGGAAGCCGTAGCCGATGGTGGTCTGGGACTCCAGGGAGAAGAGGAAGGCTCCCGTCAGGGTCTGGACCTGCATCACGCACGGCGTGTGGTTGGAGGGGGGGTCGAACTCTGCAAAGAGGCACATGGGAAGGTTGGAACCATTTTGCAATAAAAATAAACAAATATGCACGGCTGTGTTAGCAGTTTTGAATTATCAAAGGCCTTGCGTATTGCAAAGCTTTGGAAAATCGTAAGAGCCTCTGGCATTTGATGGCTAGAATGGCTAACTGGTCTACATGATGTTGTCGTATACATTGTTGTAA